TGCTAACCTGTCACCCGTGGCCAGTTGGTGGTCTGCGGCCTGGGATCACAAGGGAACATGGTAAGTTTTAGTCTTCAGCTGGGAATAGCTCATGGGATGCTCTCTCGGGTGCAGGAGTTTGACAAGGCAGTGGGTGGGACACTCCATGCTAGGATGGGAAGCCCAATGGGTCAGAAGATTCCTTGATATAAATAGGTGACAGTTAGATTTAGGGGATCATCAGCCTCTTTATTGGACCCTCTGGCCTCTGACGTCTGTGGGCTGAGATTCCTAACTGCTTTCCCACCCTAACCTGCCTCAGTCCACTCAGGCTGAGAATTAGAAGTTCAGCAGCACAGAGAGCCTTCAACCTCCCTGGGCTGAGTTAGCAGCCTGGCCTAGACAATTTACCTCCAGATCAGATTTTGCTTCTTGATTCCTTAGAAATCTGAGATCAAATCTGATCAGTTTTCTTAAATGAAAGGAAAAGGGTTTAATCTAAATGAGTAAGAGACTAAAGGGAAAACTCAAGTGCTCACTGCCTGATTTGCAGTAGAAAGAGCTCTTCTGGATCAAGGTGTGTGTGTCTATCCCTTAAGATGCAGTTGCTATTCTTGGGAAGTGGAAGGAGACACCAGAAGGACATGGACTGGGGTGGTATTCAGTGCACTGCATCTAAGCACGGCTCACCCACTGGTCTCTGTTCTCAACAGACTTCCCTTCTTCAGAGGCTGGGGTTCTCCTGTATGCCAGTCCCTCTGCCAACTCCTGCCAGCCTGTTTCTCCATGTGTTTTAGCCCCCATATGCCAAGTGCCCTATCTCCTATCCTTTCTATCAACTTATTTCTCTTTTGGAGGCAGAGAACCGCTTTGCCAGAAACAACCTAATCCTTTGCACCAGCCCCTGAGACATGTGTCGATGTTATTTATTTCAAGCTTATATCCACCTTTTCTAAAACTTTTGTGGTTTTATTTTTACAATTTTTAAAAAGAAAATTAGATTCCTGCATCTATAAACACTCTGGCTATGAAGTGTTTCAACACAAGAGTTCAACACATCTCCTATTTAACATTCTATTTCCATCTAAATATAAAGTACTTGGCTATTTGGTTTTGCACTATGTGATTTCCATATGATCCCTTGAATCAACAAATTCATCCATCACATGGAAGGCCATTGTTAATTTATAATGACAAGAGTAATGATGGCACAGAGTAATAACTAAGAATTTTAAAAAAATTGGGGCTGGAGAGATGGCTGCGCTGTTAAGAGTACTTGTTGCTCTTGCCCAGGACCCAGGCTCAATTCCCAGCATCTGTGCAGCGGCTTGCAGCCCTCTGTAACCCCTGTAGCAAAAGATCCAACAGTCACACAAGTAAAATGTGCATATACATAAAACAAATGAAGAAAAAGAGTGAACAAAGAACACACACACACACACACACACACACACACACACACATCACATCACATCTTAATCTTAGGGTGTCAATGCCTGAACAGAAGTACTGGCGTGTAGTGTTTCAATGTCACAAGATCAATCTTTGGGCCTTATATCTTTCCACATCTGTTTTTAGTCATAGGCTCACTTGAAGTCTTAATAGTTAAGTTTAGTAAATATAGGATCAGAGAAGACTATAAATGGTTTACAATGAATTGCTTTAAAGCAATGTTTAGAATAACATGGTTACATGGTGGTGAGGTACAATTAGTTTGCAATAATGTACAGTACCACTCATGAGGAGAGGTTACCATGTAAATAGGAACTTGTTTTTACAGGATCAGGCACCAAGGTAGGGAATCATTTAATGTCCACTGAGTACCTCATTAGCTGTCCTACATTTCCTCGTTGTCCTATATTCATGTAAGTTCATTGATGAGAACTGACTGGTGCTGTGGGCAAGAGTGTTTGCACATCTGAAGAGAGAGGGAGGATGAGGAGCTGTCTGATGATTTTAGCAATTCCATGTCAGACAGCCCAGTGTGGGACTGAAATGGCCTAGATCCCTGTTCAGGGCATGGAGATCTGTAGCTTTGGAAAGTTACCTAAACCCTTATTTGAGCTCATGGAATACCAAACCTGTGTATTAAGCCATCATGGTTCTGCGTCTGTTTGTTACTGTAGTAACACTTGATTTAGCTTAGTGTGTTCTAGAATGTTTCTAAAAGACTTTTTTTTTCCTTCTGAGACAAAGTCTCTCTGTATAGTCCTGGCTGTCCTGGGACTCACTATGTAGACCAGGCTGGCCTCAAACTCAGAGGGATTAAAGGCAGGTGTTACCATTCCCACTTCTAAAAGAGTTTTGATCATGGCCCACAATAAGACATATATTTTACAACAGGGGCCAGTATATTTGCTCAAGCAGGCAGAAAGACGGATGCTTATCTGTCTCACTCTCTCTCATACTTCCTCTCCTCCCTCTTTTTCTCTAACCTCCCCCAAACACACATGCACAAGCACATGCATACACACACACACACACACACACACACACACTCACTGGGAGCAGGTACCTCAAGAAACAGTACTTAATATCCATGATTGACCTATGCTCTCCTGTTAGAAGTTCTGGTATTGATTACCTATACTGAATTTACAGCCCACTACCAAATGTAACTGGAGTCTCAGAAATGCTGCCGTTGATCATAGTTTGCGCGTGACTTGTCTGCTAATTACACATCTGTCATGCATATTTACTAAAGCAGGCTTTTAAGATCTATCTTTGGCTCCTACAATGGGTGAGAGTGTTTTGTATAAGATACAGCACATCCCACATATTTTCTGGAAGGTATATTTTATTGTTGAGCCTCCCAATTTACAACGTAATTTTTAAAATTTCCTTAAAAATTTTTGTCATGGAGTAACAATATTAACCTGATTGTTATTTATTTACTTTCAGTTTTTAAAATAAATGTCTCTTGCATTATAATCAGGGCATCATAAAAACATCACTATCTTGACATAGTTTTGTGTTGATACTGATGCCAAAAATGAAATAGAGACCAAATATTTATAGTTTGCATTATGTACCTTTATATATTATATACTCATATCAAAACCTTGCCATTTCTATTAAGAAGCTGATAAGTTACTCTCTAATTCATAAATTATACCACAAATGTGAAAATATGGACAGCTATTTTATATTTCTGCTGCTTATATAAGACATTCATGTTTATACAGAAAGCTTCAACATTACAGAGGTGTCATAATGGGAGAGAGGAACAGACATTTCACCTGAATTTCCTCTGGCCTCTTATTCAGCCAGAATCATTATGATATCTTCTGAATACTCTTTTAGAGATGTGTATGGTGTCTGTTTCTTCAATACATACAGAGTACACACATATTTAGGTATATGTGTGTATGTACATTTATACAAGTATATATATACACACATATACACATGTATATAGTCTACATATGTATACATATATATTTCTGTGTGCACTTATGCATACATGCACACATAATGTCCTTTGGTTTATTTCCAGACCATTAATGTGAAATGAATTTTCAATGATTGCCATTTTTTTCTTTAAATCTAAGGTGATTTAAAAAGACCTTTGCAACAAGTAATAAATTTCTTTTAGAAATCATAAATATTATTACACTCAAAAGCATAATACATGGAAAGTTACAAGGTGTCAGAGAAGACAAAATTCTTGTTAATAGGGTGGAGAAAAGGAATCAAGCAAGCTTTCCAGCATTCTCTCTAAAATTGTCACCCTCAGGGAATGGGACCCCCAGTGCTTCTTAGTTGCTGGCTTCAGCAAAGGAACTCTAGGCTCTGTGCATGCTGCAGGGAAGAGACTGTGAGAGCCTGGTGTGACTGGGGGTGGGGGTGAGGTGACTGAACACTGAGATTTGAGTGAGAAGCCAATCCTTGGGTGGGGACACCAAGTGACAATGGGTTACTTTGGTAATAACTGTTTGGAAATGAAATGGTGTCTTTTAAGGTTGACAACTATCCCCTTTGGGAAGCTTGTTAGATATTCTCATGGGTTTGAGTTGCTAAGATGACATGTGCTTTCCTAAAAGGGATCATCTCTTGCTTCCTTCTGGCCTCCAATTATAGGGAATGAGGTGGCACATGTGCCTCTTAGTGGAACAGGCTCCTTGCAACCACAGATCTACTTGAACATGGTCACTTGTGTCTTCTGATGTCATCTACTGGCCTCTTCTGAAACAGTGACGCATTTCCCAAGTACACTAATGAAACCATGACTTGAGGAAAGGGGTAGATATTGCACTCCAGTAATACTTGTGGGAAATCAAAGCCCAAGTGGGTGTGGGTAAAGCTATCAACAATAAACCAAAACACAAGACAAACATACAAACAAACCCTCCTACCTCTTGGTTGTGTCACATCAAGGAGTTCTAAAATGACTCAAGAAAAGGGGTGCCCCTGGTTCTAAGACTGGTAATCTGCCTTTGTCAGACAGCTGCTAGCTATGCCTTGTAGTTCTCTTTCTCTGATGGCTGTGTAAAGAGTACCAGAAAACTGAGGCTGTGTGGATGAACTCTGTGTAAGAGAGACATTTTTGGTTGCTCCAGTGAATTCTATCCCAACTCAGAGCAGCTGCTGGTGACAGAAGAGTCACATGTTTCAGTTCCTGGCAGCACAGGAAGGACACAATCTGGGTAATGTTGGTAAATTTTCAGTGCTCATGCCTTTTAAATTTCCTAACCCTGTGCAGTATTTAGGATTTCCTAGGGACAGCATCTTTTTCATCACGCACCTCAATTTGTATCCCTGAGTGGTCTCGCTTAATTCAAGCCACCACCCATCCTTGTGCTGGAGCTGTGGAGTTCCCTCTGTCACCTTGCATTTCCATGCTATATAACAGCACCTCAGCTGAGACCACAGACATTCTTGAGTTACCAAGTGTGGCTTTTTAGATATATTCCTTTTTCTTCTCAGATATGAAAAAAATTGAGGGCAAAGATGCCCCTGTTTTGCTACAGTATATCTCCCATTTACGTGACAGAAATAAGGGTCGAGTCACACATAGGATATAGATGTTGGTAGGAATGCTATATTTGGGCTACAGAATAAAAACGATTGCTTCCATTGTAGTGAAAATAACCATTGACAGTGAGCAAAGCTGCAGACCGGGCTGGGGTTGCTTGTGTAGGGGTAACAGGAATTGCTGGGTGGCTGGTGGCTGCCAGAACTGTGGAGCAAGGACAGAGGCAGAGACAGGGAGGAGGAGGCGGTGGAGATGGAAGCACGGCCCTAGTTCTTCCTCAGGATACTTTGCAGACTCCTCTCCACAGCCTCGTCCAGCTCCTCCTCCAGCTCTTGCTTCTTGGACATGGCCAGCTTAGACTGGTAATCCCTCACCACCTGATCGATGTATGGGGCACTTTGTGTGCCGTGTAACATCAGGGTCCATTCCTTCAGCAGTCCCTTCTGTGGCGCGCTGCCCACGAACCCCAGCTCCAGGGTCCAGGTCCCTCGGGCATCCTCCCCCCAGGTATGGGTGGTCATGAAAGGCCACTTGTCAAAGCCCACCTTGGAGTCGTCATCTCTTGGACGCCGGCTCAGCAAAATGGACTTGGTGCCCATGGGGGAGGTCATGTTGATGTTCAGGTCTCCTCTCCTGGTTGCGTTGACTGTGATGACAGCTTGGACATGCTCAAGGTAGCGTACAAAGTTTTCTTTCCCCTCACATGCATTTGTTTCAAGGGTCAGTACCAACTTGCCAGTGGGTGGTATTTTCCTGAGGACAGAGAGAAGGGGATTTGATAAGGGAACGTATGCGTGACCTGAGAAGGGGTTTCAAGACACCATCTGCAGAAGGAAGAAAAAGTGCTTTAGGATTAATTATTGAGACTGACTTGGGTTTTGATTTTTCACATCAACTGTGAATCTGAGCACAGAACTTGCCCTGTAAAGGGGAGGTGGCCACTGTTGATATCCTCCTCACATGTAAGCCCCCCTGAGTTACCTGCACGTAGCCTGACCACTTCAGGATCTCCCAGCTCCCCACTGCCAACATCATGGGCATCTGCTCATCCTGTGTGCAGGAACCTAAAGGTATCAGGGATCCAGTTCCTCAGGGGGAGTCCTCTGCCAATGACTGACAAGATGTGTTCCATACATGTTCCCTGGCATCCCTGCTTCTTAATAGAATGACTCAGTGTCCCAAATTGGCAAGATCTTGTCTTAGACCTAACTTTAGGAGCAACTCAGATGGAGGCAAAAGTTCATAATGACTTTCTCCTTCTTCTTTTGAAAAGACCTTTAAAACGTGTTCTTTGACAATTTCCTACATGTACACAATGCAATGTATCTTGATCATACCTACCTCCCCCACTCTGCATCCCACTCCTCTAACATATCCCCATTTTTACTTTCATGTATTAAAACCCCACCAACCCACTAAGTCCAATTAATGCTGCCTGTATATACATGGATGTGGGGCCATCCCCCAGACCATGGGTAACCTACTGGCGGCCACACCCTGAATAAAAATGATGGTTCTTCCCAGAGCAGCCATCATTTGCCAGAAGCTCCTCAGGAAGGAGTGGAGCCCACAGGCCCTCTCTTATCTTTGATGGAGTATTAAAGGCTCCAGCTTGTGCAGATTGCATGCAGGTGATCACAGCTGCTGTGTGTTTATGAGTGCAATGGCCATGTCAAGGCCAGAGAACAGCATTTCACACCACTCTTCCCTATCCTCTGGTTCTTCCATTCTTTCTGTCCTCTCTTCCCCTGTGTTTTCTGAGTCTTGGGGATTTGGTATAAATGTCTCATTTAGGGCTAAGCACTCAATAGTCACTTACTTATAGTTGAAAAAATAAGATCTGTGATTGGGAAGCATTAGAAGTTAAAGTCAGAGGTGGCTATGGAGTAGAGATTTTAAATAGTCATACAGTTCCTGTTCTTAGACCGTGTTCTGGAACATCTTCAGTGCAGACACTTACTAAGACCTTTCAGAGCAGCTGGCATTACAAGAGGAGATGCACACAAGCTTGGTGCTCAAGTAGGGAGTGGCTCATATCTTTATCCTGTTGTATATGACTTTAAGCAAGCAGTCAGTTGACTCCTGCCTAGAAGAAGCATTTTTCAGTGTGCCCCCATGGAATGCCTATGCCATGGATCCTCAACTGTATAATTGTGACTCTTTCATTAGTTTTGGACAACAGCCATGCTTTTTCAAGGGTAGAAAATGCTTACAGTGTCTCGTAAAAACCAAAAAAAATGCTTACAGTGTTGCATTTGTGAGAACTTCCAGTGAGTGGGGTGTTCATTTGGGGGTTCCTTTTCTGCACACGACAGGGCCAGTTGCCCAGTGACCCACACAGGAAGACACTGTGGGTCAGAAGTGCTGTGCAGGGCTGCACAGGTGCTTCAGGGCAAAGCACACTCTTTTTCTTTCTCCTCCATGCCTCTTCTGGTGTGCGTATCAGTTTTTAACACATTTTTTCCAAATTTGCCTGGAATTCAGTTGGAACATGCACTCAGCTAGAGCAGCTGCATCCACGGTTCCCTTGGGGGTGGACATAGGGTAGGAAGTGTGAGTGGCCTGAGCTCAGTGCTCTGCTCTGCGTGGGTGATGGGGCAGCAGAGTTCATCCTGTTCTTTGCACATGGCTGGCACAGCTGGGCACAGCCGGTTTTCTTTTCCCTTTGATCCTCCTTGAGCACCCTTCACTGAGTCTCTTGATAAAGTTCTTTAGAAAATTGCTTTTAAAATTGACTCCTTCTCTGGGAAGATAAATGCCCAGGAAACCCATATACCTGACAATCACCACTCTTAGTGCTCTTTCTGCCATATGAACTGTTTTCGTCAGCCTGAGTGTCATGGGAAGTGGCAGTTGTGGAGGCTGTTCATTTCTCTATCAAAGCTCCTTGGAAGTGTGATTCCAGGTCATCAGGGTCTTCTCTGCTCAGTGACATGGCCAGCCCTATGCTGCCCACCAAGCTTTCTGTCTGGTCTCCGCATTCTCTGAAGCCATGAAGCTATGCTGCCTGTGTGTGAGCAATGGGTAGTGACTGTCCAGCAACAGAAGCACAAGTCCAAGGCTGTAACATGGACTGGCCAGGCATGCGCCTAGCCTCAAGTTCTTGACACTCAGCATGGAGATGATATTATGAAATTACCATTGTTGTTTGCCCTTTTCAGTTACTCTCCTGCCAAGGCGGAACTATAGATGAGCCTTGATGCTGACACTAGCCACTAGCCACTGGTGGCCACCCTCTGCGTAAACTACTTAGAATCAGATCAAATGGAAACTATAGTTACTCAGCTGCACTTTTACCAACTCTTGTACTCAACAGTCATCACGATTATTTTGAATGGTGCAGATATAAAACACCTCACCACCCAGAAAGCCTCACAGCCTCCAAAATTCTCAAGAAATTCTTTTAAACTCTACCAAGAGACACAGTGGTCAAGGAGTCGATAACGGACTTCAGGTGCAGGTAGTTATGCTGAATAGGGTTGAGCCCTAAGTGTCCCAGGCAGACATGTGTCCCAGTGCTCTCTGTTCTGATGAGCCATGCTGACAAAGTCTCAACAACGGCAGTTATGAATTTTTTTGGGGTGGCCAGGGAGGGACTACTCTAGAGTTCCTGGAAGTTTTTACATATATTTTTTATATAACTGATATTAGCCTGGGAGATGTGTTCTATCATTGTTACCTTTAATAGATAGTTAGGTTTTCAAAATCTCCGGGAGACTTACTGGGAAAATGCTCCAGGCACCAACTCTTTCAGTTCAAACTCACGGAGACATATTAAAGCCTTATCTGGCCTCCACTCAGATCCAATCTTGGTCACTCAGTATCTAGGTGACCATCAGCATACCTTCATCCTTCACCAGCTCATCTCCTGATCCATAAAGACACCACTGAGCTCCCAGCAGGACTGCCACAGAGCCTGGTACAGGGTCTGAGAGCACAGTAGGTCATTTGGTCGATGAATTAAGGTCAGAGTCATATGGTAAAAGAGCCTGAGCCTTGCCTTTTCCGTTAGTACTGTTTTGGTCTCCTTTGACTTTGAACATATTTCTCATGCCTTCTGCATCTCAGGCTCCTTATCTGTAAAAGGTAACAGTGATAGAACACATCTCCCAGGCTAATATCGGCTATATAAAAATATATGTAAAAGCTTCCAGGAACTCTTTAGAGTAGCCATTTTTATCTCTTATATTCCAAGAGACTGTGATTTTTTTTTACTGGACCTTATAGCCAAGTTAAGAATACAACTTGAGGTCACTCAAGATTTAACCTGCTATTCTGCTGTGCTCTTAGCCTGTTGTTTAACTTATCTCTAAGATAACAGTGTAACAACCAGTCTTACTTGCCTTGGATTTCCCATGTAATCTGCTTTTATGACTTAAGCTAATGGATAGCTTTAACCTTAAATTATCCATGCCCCTGGCCCAGAGAGCAATGCATGTGTGCTATGATAATCATTTGTTCAAAACAGCGAACAGGTCAAAAGCAACCTTACACAACAAATATCTGCAATAAATGTTGGAAGCAGCATACAGAGGTTTGATAGAGCCATGTTTGCAACATTGAATGCTTTAGGGTCAGTTGAAGCAATTAACTTAATTTCCTGCAAAACTGTTAAAATTTCTATAAAGTATCTCTTATCCCTTCCTCATGTGATGCTGATTAATAAATACACATCAAAGCCCTTTGCCAGGGATACTTAGACATCAGGTAGGTACACACAACAATAGTGACAGTTACAGACAGAGGACACAGACACAAATACAGATGGGCCAGTAACTATAAAGACAGACAGATGAAAGACACAAGGAGAGAAGTGGAGAATTCAAACTTGGTCTCTCTTTTGGTTAAATCAATCCAAGGGGGAAAGTGCTGACCTTTCTTTCCTTAGACACAGATGCATTTGGTGCCACTGAGGCTGTCCTTAATGCATTTACCTGGTGAAGGTATTCATAAAATCACCTGGAGCTTGTGCTTTTAGAGAACCAGGAGTCTTTGAATCACCACACTAAATCTCTGCTTTCCTATTTAGTATGGAGTAAGTGATGCTTTATGAGATCATTGAATAGTTTATGGGGAGAGTGTGGGGGCTCTGCAAGGACTCAGTGAGTAGGCAGTGAGGATGTCTATCCAAGAAGGATGCTTACCCATGGGAGGATTTTCATCCAGGGAGGATGCTTACCCATGGGAGGATGCTCATCTATGGAAGGATGCTCAATAAGAAAGGATGCTTATTCAGGGAGGATGCTCAATCAGGGAAGATGTTCATCCATGGAGGATGCTCACCAACAATTGCTCATCTAGGGGGAATGCTCATCAGTGGAAGGATGTTCACCTATGGGAGGATGCCTGCTCACAGCATAGGTTCTGAGTTGCACAACTGTGCTCTGGATCATGGTCCCTCTGCAGTTGTGCATCTCCATAGTTTTCCCTAGAAACTGGTTGTCCCAAATGAAACCCAGGTTCGTTCCTTTCATGGAGAGGGACTCAAGGTTCATCACCAACAAGGATACCTTCCATATGTGGCAGGTACTGTCTGTCCCTACTTACTCAGGGTTCTGCACGGAGCCTCCCACACAATGGAATCTCTCAGGGACAGTTTTCCAGTCTTTCGCCATTTTTACCATGGCACCTGCATCAAGGACACCGTAGCCAAAGAGGTGATTAAATTCCAGGCCAACTCCATTCCGTCGCCACTGATGGACCTCATCGTGAAGTTGGTTCCGCTTGGAGGTGAGCACAGTCAGATGCTGCATGTCTCTCCAGGTCAGATCCAGGCTGGTTACAGGAGACAGAGTGCAAAATAAAGATATAAGAGTGATCAGGGAAGAGACACAATGGCTAAGGTGAGTAACACTCAGGACATGTCCCGTTAGGAGAGTCTGGAACATCTGTGAACTTATAGCTCAGAGAAGGTGTTCATGCACTATCTAGAACCATTGTATATGTCAATTAAAATATCGTTGCTGTTATTACTTTTAAAATGTATTTCAAAAGAGCATTTTACACATAGATTTGAGAGTCTAAGATGGAAAAGATTGGTAATACCAAGTGTTGACAAAGATGTAGAGCAAATAAAACTCATTGACTTTGCTGATATTTGTATAAGCCATTGAAAAAAGCAATAAGGCTATATTTACTAAGGTTGTCCATGTGGCTGACATAGTCTAGTAATTCCATTCTCAGATGTGTATCTGGCAAATTATGTTCATGTTCAGCAGATATGGACATATCTCTAGATTGTAGTTCTTGTAAACATTTATCTTAGTAGAATGAAATTTTTACGTACAAAATGAAAATGAATGAATTGTGATTATTTCTAATAAAATATGGAGATTTTTTTGAAACAGGGTCTCATGTAACTCAGACGGACTTCAAACTCTCTATGCTGCTGCTGCTGACCTTGAACTCTTGATTCTCCTGTATCTACCTCCTGAGTACTGGGGTTATAGGCATGTGCTACCACATCATTATGTGGTACTGGGGTTTGAACTCAGGGACTTGTGTACACTTGGCAAGTACTATACCTACTGAGCTACTTTCCTAGCCTGCTACAGATGAATCTTAATCTTACCAAAACAACACCGAACTGAAGAAGCAAGGCAGAAAAAAAGAATTCTCTGGTTGAGATATGGTTGAATGTATGCATTAGAGATTGCGTGTTGGAAGCTTGGTCCTCAGTGGGTCATTGATGGAAGATGGCAGAAGCTTTAAGAGGTTTGTGGGAGGGGAGAGGGTCATTGGGGGCGCTGCTCTCTGGAAGCATTGATAGAATTCTTGGGGCTCTGGTTAGTTCTGGAGAGAGGTGATTATGAAAGAGCAAGGCCAGCCCTTCCCCATTACTCTGGCTTCCTGTTTAATCATGTGATCCCTTCCTCAACCACTTGCTCCTGTCATGACCAGAGGGACCTTCACAAGAGGCAAAGCAAAGTGACACTTGGTCTTGGTCTTTCAGTTCCAAACTGTGAGTTCAATAAAACCTCTTTTCTTCATTAAGTACCCAGTATCAGGCATTTTATTATGGCAAGTGAACTAATATAGGGAAATACTACATGATTCCATTTGTTTAAATCATAAAGAGAGAAACAATTCATGTATGCTGTTGGAATTTCATTAAGGTTAGTTTTGAGCATCACAACTGAAGGGGATGGGGGTGCTCTTTCTAGTGTTTGCAGTGCAGGGTTTCTCAGTCTGGGTGCTCACTACCTGGTGCACTCGATGTCTGAAATGGGGCTGTCAGTTTGAGACAGGAACAGAACCTTCAACATATTTGTATGTCCAAGGCACAAGATGTCCCCTTGACAATCTTCACCATGGTCTTTGGAAACTAGTGTCCATTATTGCTTAATGCCAGTTTTTAAAAGTGCAAGTCACAACTTATTTGTGAGCCAGGAAAACAACTTACAGTGCTGGCAATCTACCTGGGCTGCAGACTAAAAGTCTCTCTGAGGCATTTGAGATCCTGCCACTAAGTCCACATCACAGACAAATTAAACCGTAGTCTCTGGGTGTGAGAAGTAGATCCTGGGGATTGTTAACATTCCCAGGGTATTCTAATAGACAAGGCCGAGATGAGTGAAAGGGTGACTGATGTTTGAGATCAGCCTGGGATACCTAATGAGACTGTCTCAAAAATTAATAATTATTAATTGATAAAATAGATTAGAAAAGAAAGTCAGTGGACAGATGTAAAATGATATTAGTATTTCTATGAAACATTTGGGGTTAGTGTGTTGGGCTGTAATGCAGAATTAGCTTTTTACTGAGAGTCATGGTTTTGGGGGGATAGGGAGCCATCCAATCAGAAGGACAAGGATTCAAACAATTGAAAGGACAAGAAATGATATCATTCATTTGGCAAAATTTCCACACATTCCAAGTTAATTGGTTTGAAACTCTGAATCAGAGCCAAAGCACTCCTGTGCTCCCCAAACCCTGAAGTGCAGCTTCGAGGGAGAAGGTTCCAAGATGGGTCAATGTGCTTGGGAAGTTTCTGAGAGAAGTTGGTTGTGGCTAAGTTTCCAGGTTTGCTAGAGTGGGATTCTGAGTTTACAAATCCCAGAAGTGTTGACAAATGAGAACCTGAGGGACCCAGAGGCTGGCCAGCAGGTGGAGGGCTTTCATGCCCACCTTACAAAGGTGTTGTGCCCCTGTGCCTGAGGGGATCACCTCACATGCTTCTATGAAGGTTTCCTCATGAGTGGGCTGGTGGGTTTGGGGCAGAACAGAGAACTTGTCACTTCTGTGATTATGAGAACAGGCTAGACTAATTTAACCCTCTGTGTGGCATTGTCTGGGCTAGCTGTTATGTGCATGTGTGAAGTAAAATCGGGTTCCTCCTAACTGCCTCTCTGAGAAGTTTCAGGATTGATAGAATATCCTGTTCTACAAAATAGGCTTTAACCCTTCTATATCAGCTCAAGACTCACAGGCAACAGCTATTAAATAATACCAAAGTAAAACAGCAGAATATCTGCAATATTAAAGGCTGTTGTGTTGGAAGCTATACAATAACTAACATGATGAATTCTTCACTGTTCTTTGTACCAGTTGGGCTACTAGGTCACAAGTATGTGAAAAGGTACAGCACATGATGAAATATTCCATACATGTCTCGAGTATCTATCACATCCAGGCACTAAGGCCAACCATAGACTTGCCATAGGAAATTTCTTGTCTGTACAGAGTGTATAGCTTAGCGGGCAGGTGGGCAACTCAGTATTGAAACAGTGAAAGCTGACATGCTATATCAGCTCAGGCTGCTGCAGGGGCCTTCAGTGTAGGCCCTGGGATGTCCCAGACAGAGAGCTTCACCGTGGTCCTCAAGCTTCCCAAAGCAGAACCCTTTGGACACTAGTGTTAGCTGTAGGTTCTCAGATCTTTTGAATCAGCACTTGAAAGTTATGAGCTTGAGAATTAGGAGTAGATGAGGTCCCAGATGTCTCCTGCACATGCACATCATAAACACCATGGACTTAAGATGGCATTTTTGGTCTTGGCAGTGTCTTTTAATCGTCAAGGGGTGGTAAAAGAATATGTCAGGGCAGATGGGTTTGAATTCCATGAGCTTGCTACTGATTCAATGTCGGCATTGCCTCTTCCAGGTCCAGTTATCTGGCTGAGAAAAACTTGAGCTTTAGACTCAAGCACCCAAGGGAGTACATCCCATTGTGTGAATTTGGGTAAATTATTCCAATATCTGAGTCCCAGCTTCAGATCTTTGCAATGGGGAAAAGGTCTCAGAGGGGAAAAGTTCTTGAAGGTTTGTTGAGGGGTAAATTGTAGATTATGTGTGTAACACAGATCATGTGCGCAAACTATCTCATACAGTATGGACATTGAAGAAAGAGCTTGCTATCAATAACTGAAGCAAGCTAGAAAAAAAAACAGCTAACATATTGACAGTGACATTTAGCATGCCATTTGAACCTTGGGGATGGCCTGAATTTTGAATAGTTTGCAGATAATATAACAGAAATCAGAGCAGGATATTGCCCACATGGACACTGGACAATACCATGAGTTGTCTTTTTCCTTTCATTTCTTCTTTATTCCTCTTTGCAACAGATGGAGACCGTTAAAGAAAAACACAACCACTCAAAATGCGGAGTTGTGGAGCCCAGGTCCAATGGATACATCTACAAAACACTCCCACATTGAAGGCTCAGGGAACATTGTGGGAAAGAAGATAAAAAACATTTGTTGTGAGATTCTGTCTTCTAGCAATGCCAGAAGCTACACCCATAATGTCTCACCAACACCGCTGACCAAGCATGAGCTGAACAAGGATGACACCCATCCAATGGACATGCCAAACAGGACAGGGAAAAGCCCATGAGGCCTCAACCCTACACCAAGTACTGTAGGCAATGGAGGGAAGCTGGGAGTAGGAGAGGTGCCAGGGAGAAACACATCAATTGGCTGTCCAATACCAAATGGTCAGTCCTGAAATCATATGTACAAATAGTATTATACAGACTGAATAGTTTATATTGAGGAATGCGTATGTGTATATGCATGAAATAACAATGGAAAAAGAGGTCATGTGTTTAGAGGAAAGTTGGCAGGGGTGTATGAGAAGGTCTGGGAGGAGGAAAAGGAAGGGAGAGATGGTGTAATTATATTATAAACTCAGAAATTATAAAAATTAAAAGAAAAAGAATAGAACCTCTGTTGTATTCAGAGCAGCAACATGCTCTGAATTTATCAGCCTCCTTTGCAGCACGGGGGTGACCTTGTGACTAGTTCTGGCTAATGAGAAATAAGTACAAGGTCTGGGTGGGGTTTCTCAGAAAGCTCATGCAGTAAGCATGTGTGCTTAAAGAATGGTGACTGCTCAGTGCAGAATTGAGAATCTGTTCAGGATTCCAGTAGGCTCATCCCACCTCACTCCAGCTTACTGAGACTGTCCATTCTGTGTGTGGAAGGCCCAGGCAAGTGACATTTTGCTTGCCCAAATCCCAAAGAACTGAGTTAAGATTTGTCCACTGGGGTTGAAAGGCTGAAGACAGACACTTAGTTGGTCTTGATGCTGAGTGAGCAAAGCCTGCTTAGGACCCAGGATCTGTGCAGACCATGTGACGAATGGTTTCTGCTTCTGATAACACCTGCCATATGTGAATGAGTTTTGGTTTCTGTGCTTAAGAGGGCAGAGGTATCTGTTTCTCACAGTGTTTCCCTCATGGTGTCCTAAAATTTACACCCAACTTTTGTTGGAAGAATGCACATTTAGACTAATGATTACCTCTTTTATCTGTTTTTGTTTTTTGAGACAGGGTCTGTCTATATATCCCAGACTGACCTCACATTCCATATCGCCCTGCCTCAGTCTCCTGAGAGCTCGGAGTTCAAGCCTGCACCACTTGGTCTGTTCTTTTGCAGGTTAGAGAATGTATTGAATATGCGGAGACAGACAAGCAAGTCTGCCTAGAAACCACGGTTGCCTAGCAACTTCTGACAAGATGCTGAGTGATCCATTCTCTGAACTCTCCATATAACCTGTGTGCCTAGTAGCATAACTTCTGGAGGCCAAAGAATATTCCTTGACTCTAAGTCCAGCCTTTGGTTTCTCAGAGAAGGCAAGCAGCACTCTGGCAGGTATTGCCACTGATGCTTACATCTGAGCTACACCCAGGAGGAGCCACATGTGGCCTCTCACAGGAAATGATCTCTTATCTGCCACCAAGATGGCTTCACAGTAAAACCCATGTCTTGGTCTATTCTGCAGGACTACACCTACTTTGTCTGGGTGTAGAGAAGTGGGTGTCTTCTATAAGAACAATTCCAATAGTTCTTCATTTAGCTGACTAAGAGCATTAGTGGAGTAAAATAGCTGTGTAACTTAAAGAAAACAAAGGGGGTTTCATGAAGGAAGACATATTTGTGTGCTGTATTTTGGTGTGTAAATAAGTTGCTGTTTTGTGTTGTGGGTTTTGGATCCTTTTGGTCTTCTAGGTATATGGTTTTACAATGTTTGTGTGCGTCATTTAAGGACCGAGAGCCATTTAAAAATGTCTAGCAGAATTCATTAGTCCTGGATTTCTAACTCTCACATCCACTCCTGTCTCTGTGGACACCTAGCATGTGGGTGGAGAGTCACACACCAGTTTGCCCTTCAGAGCTGTCCTCCAGCTCACAGATGAAACATACTTAGCCTCTAACGCCAGCGCGAACACTCCAGCTGCCTCAGGAGCAGCTGCAGATGTCCCAGAATGTCTCAGAGTACAGTTTCCATACAAGTCTGTGGTGGCCTGGAAGAGAAGATAATGAGTAATGAATGAACAAGCCACACCGTTTGAACCCTAGACAGTGAGGATCAGGGTAGTGCCTATTTATCTTACCTAAACTGTTCTGAATAGTCAATGGTCAATGGTGGGTTGAATTGCACTGAGTTTAGCTTTTGGACTCATCATCATGAAATATCATGACCTGCACCAGCGGTATTCCCAAAGTGGGAAGACATAAGTATCCAAAGAAAGGGAGGTTATTAAAAAACAGATATTCCCTCTCTATCTAAAACTTACAAAGTGATTCTGAGACATGCCAAGAAACCCCGGTGCTGGTTACCTCCCCAACTTTAGTTAGGGTATGCATGGGTCCCTGATTGTTAAAGGACTTTTCAATGAGAACAATTTTATTTTCAATATTTGTGACAGCTGGGTTTTCATTGCAATCATGTATAAACTACAGAAATTCTCCCTCTACAGGGTTCTCAGAGGATTTATTATTTTGAGGACAAAGGACTAGGAAGGTTTAAAGGTGGTGTTCTGAGAAAATTACAATATTCAAAAGAAGGACCTTTCCCAAGCCAAGTAGAGCAAGTGTCATAGATAAGGGCTGAAAAAAAAAACAACCTCATCACTTGGGGCCTCTGGGAAAGGGACTGGGACTCCTAGAGAGTAGGGCAAGGTACCACAAACACAGCAGAATGGGGGCTGCCCTCCATTGCTCCTTTCTGCTAGGCTCTGGATGGACCAGAGGGGCTGAAGTCCCATTCTGCTTGGGAAGAGCTGGCATGTCCTCTTCTCTAATCTCAGGCCCAGGAGGGTCACAGAGGCATGAACAGCTGTTAAGGACTGTGCTTCTTGTAGGCAAAAGGTTTTTCCTCTTTGCTCACCAGTAAGGCTGACTGTATGGCCAAGGATGAGAGCCCAGAGGGGAATGTAGAGTTGAAACCTTACATGGTAATAATTACTTTGTTCCAAGCTCCTGTCCTTTTGTGTGGGGAAGTTTCAATGGCTGTAGGTGGCCAGTCAAGATGTAGCTCGTCAATGGCTTTACATCATATGCTAAATGTCTGGCTTGGAGGATCAAGGAAAGACTGGGATGTGAGCAAAGTAACCAGAGAGGAACAAATCCCTGATGTGTTACTATGCTCTGCAAGGGAGGGAAAGTTTACTATGACATCCGGTTGCCTAGAAAGGAAGATGGTTTCCTCAGGGAGAGACAGAAAGAGACAGAGAGAGGTAAAGAGAAAGACACACACACACACACACACACACACACACACACACACACACAGAGTGAGAGAGAGAACCCTGTGAATTCTAATGTGTTTTTAAAGTCACAAATCCATTTGATAATAAGATGAATTATCATCTTTTCCCCTGAGGAAATATGTAGTTGGACTCATCTTTAAGAGGGTTAAGGAGCCAGAGAAGTCCACCCATGGACACTATTTTTTTTCGAGGCAGGGTTTCTCTGAGTAGCTTTGGAGCCTGTCTTGGAACTCACTCTGTAGACTAGGCTGGCTTGAACTCACAGAAATCTGCTTACCTCTGCCCCCCAAGTGCTGGGATTAAAGGTGTTGCTGCCACCACCCAGTACTATGGACACTGTTATTATTATTATTATTATTATTATTATTATTATTATTATTATTTTGCTGTACTGGGGGATCCAACCCAGGGTTGAGTATATGCTAAGGTAAGAGTTCTACCTCTTACAGCCTCCCTCACTCCTAGCGTGGTGGTGTTTCTAAACACGGGGTGCTTTCTTGGGGCTTGTGGTGTGATGTGATGCCTGAATTCTTATAGTTATCCTTCTTTTCGTAAGTGACATGCCAGGAAACCTATTGATAAACCAGAGCTCATCACTACTTGTATGCCAAAGCAAGACGATACAAATATAGAAAATGAACTAGAAAGGCTTGTCATAGGATCTTCTTCCCACCTGCAGATGGTAGGTCTCCACCTAAGCACTATTAGACATGAAGAAATTGGATGTTCTCAAGGCTGGGCTAACTTATGAAGAGAAGGAGTAGAGTTGGAAGACTGATATGTCACAGAGGGGTACCTGGTTCTAAGCAATTGGACAGGAAGTAGTTTGCACATACCACACCAGCCTCGGGATTCCTTTTCCTCCCATTGCTGAAGGTGGATGCCAAGGTGGAGGAACAGCTCTCATCGTACAAGGCAGTCCTGCCGTCGTTGATGGCTGAGTTGATGGAGATTGTCCACATACTTGAAGCGTAGCCATCACAATTGCAGTCATCGTAGCTGCCGCCATCCCCGGAGGCCCACACATAGATGCTGCCTTTGCCCCCACGGCCCTGGTAGAGCAAGGAAGATGTGGTGCCAAGTCAACACTGGGGAACCAGGAGCTGCAGGGTTCAGGTCTGGGGTTGGGTGAGGGTTTCCTGCCCAGGTAAAGTCCTGGCCTAGGAGGGTCAGGATTTGAACGAATATCACTATGCAATCAAAAAACTGAATTTTCATTTTGTCTGGGCTGGAAACTATATTTATCCGATGGGAGATAGTAGAAATGACTCTCCCTCCAAGAATGATATAATATAAAATCGTCAATTTGTATTTTTAACGGAGATATCAGGTTAAAAAGGCTAGAAGCATTGCTTTAAAATTTACCAATAAACTGATTTTTAAAAGCCTTAAAATTTACAAATGAACTGATTTTCAAAATGCTGTGAAGGTAGTACATACTTATTATAAAAAGCGTCAAAGTATATGGAAAAGAAAACTTAACTCCCCCACCCCCAGGAGCAATCAATGTGATTTTATTCTTACATGTAAGTGTTCAGTGAAATTTAAGTGTACCTGTCTGTGATTATATTAAACTACATAAGATGTATACGTGGATGTAGGAGCCAAGTACATGTTTAACCAGTATGATATAAAAATCTTACATATGTGTATATAGCTTTAAAAATCCAGTTGATTATAACAGAATTCTATTGGAAATGCTACATGCCATTTGACATGTGCAAGGGACCAACTCTGGGAATAAAGCCTAATGTGGGAAGTAACAAATAGGCAATGGCATCTGAACTCAGGAGGACAGCATGGTAATTATCCCCTTTGGCCATCAGTTACAGAAAAGCGGTGCTACAAATGACTCAAGTCAGTATCGCTACTTCTCAATCCCTGCTCTTGGTGTTTTTATCTTTCCTTGCCCTCTATGGGTATAGTCTCTTGTCTGCCTTAACCAGGATTAGGCCACTTGCCTCTTGCTTTCTCCTCTGCTAGTTTTAAGGCGGTGGGGCTGGAGGTGGGGGGGGGAGTGGAGAGAAGAGTAATCATGCAGTGAGGGAAGTGAGGGGCAGGTGTACAAGCTCCCATTTCTCCATAACTTTGTGCAGGGTGTCTGGATGACTCTCTGAAGCAGTCGTTATCAATTATGGGTCTTGACCCCTTTTGGGGGGGGTCACACATCAGATATCCTGTGTATTAGAAATTTACATTGCAATTCATAACAGTAGCAAAATTATAGTTATGAAGTAGCTATGCAAATAATTTTAGGGTAGGAAGTCACCACAACATGAGGAATTGCATCATCAGGAAGGTTGAGAACCACTGCTCATAAGGGAGGGGTGGAAGAGAGGAGGGAAGGGGGAGAGAGAGAAAGGGAGGGAGCGAGGAGGGAAGGAGAAAGAAAAAGAAGGATGTGGAGGAGACAGAGAAAACCCCTGTGTGGCCACCAGGCGTCTGTGGTTCTGATTCAGTGGCTTAAGGTGGAGATGTCATTAGAAAAAGAGGGACTGGATCACCTCCAAGGTTTGTTTGTTTTTGACAAGGAGAAGTGGCATTCTGAGTTTCTTCTAACAGGACTGGAAATTAATTAGCCTGTGACTGAGTGAGTCAATAAGTCCACAAATAATTGACCACAAACTGGGAATTGTCTTCAGATTCTTGGTAAATCTATACAGCTGAAAGACTCCATCAAAATAAGCAATTGCTTTTGGAAGCCAGGACAAAGAAGAAACAGATGGTTTCTGATGTTGGCATGGAGGGACATACACTCAGGTTCAGATTTGGGCTCAATACTCGATAACCCTCCCCTCCAAGTCCCTGAGCAGGCTGCTAGTGAGTGAAGCAACCTTCATACGAGGAAGAACCCTGGTGTCGGGGGTGTCACTGTGACCTCTACTTGCATAATTCCATGTATCAACACCCTTCGTAATAGGACTTTGTAGTTTTGCCCAAGAGGAGAAGGTGTCCCTTTTCTTCTTCTTGGATCCTGACTGGCTTCGTGTCTTGATGCGACCATCAAAATGTAAGAGACATCAAGTGGGCAAAGATTCTAAGCCCAAGACTTAGGGAACCTTGTACATCTCTGCTGTGTCTCAGAACTTTGTTATGCAGGGCAATGAATCTGGCTTAGCCTGTCACAGAGCCCAGTCAAATTCACCGCCCCAGCTGGCAGTCAATGCAAGAGCTTCCTTAGACCAGCCGGTCTCTAGCTTCCCTTCCAGCTAACCACAAATGCATGAATGAGGCTGTGGGAGGGCACTGGGCTGCAGAGCAGCTGCCACTGAGTGGAAGTGAAGGTCTTCCTTTGTAGCCCACACTGGTCTTGAGGCCCTGAACTCACAGAGATCCTCCTGCCTCAGCCTCTCAAAAGCTGGAGTTACAGGTGTGCACTTCTACCTCTTGCTTTAACCTTGACATCTTAGTACATTAGCATGCTTTAAAAATCATTTAACTTTTTATTGTAAAAATGACATGCAATACAGAATAATTGAAATATGTAGCCTATGGAGCACCTGTGATTCCTGGTGTGATTTTGTGAGTTCCTGACAGTTTTATATAGAGAGGCAAAGTATTAGAATAGCTTCAGAAATGAACCTGGGATAATAAAATAGATTCACTTTACTTGGCCTGCTTTTTTAACTACAATATAATTTACTCATGTGATTAATAGGATTCTACATTATGTTTTATTAGTCTCACTAGATAGACATTTAGCAATTTCTTCTCTCCTTATTAGACTTACATGGAGGATTATTTCTAGTTTTCAAAAGCTGTCTAATTTTTCAAATGTATGTCATTTTATATGTCTCTTTATCTCTGCTTACTTAGATGGAGTTACTAAAAGAAGGAATTTTTTCTCTTTATTTATTTATTTTAATTTTTAAATTTAAATTTAAATTAGAAACAAGGTTGCTTCACATGTCAATTCCAGGTCCCTCTCCCGTTCCCTCCCCTCCTCCCACACCCTCCCATCAACCCCTCCAATATCCACTCATTTCCCCAGGGAGGGTGAGGCCCTCTATGGGGGTGTCCATAGTCTGTCATAAGAAGGAATTTTTGATGAGAAGGAATGTTTGTTTGAAAATTCTTCATCCACATAACCATATTATCGTGCTTTATAATGACTATAGTGTTAACATGTATAAATAATAAGTGCCAATATAAAATATTTTTGTTTTTGTGGTGCTGGGGATTGATTAGGATTTTACACATGCTAGGCAGACCTATCTTTCCTGACAGGGCCTCATGTGGCCCAGGCAGCCTTGCATTCTTTATGCTGCTGAAAATGACTATGACTCCTTGATTCTGTACCCTCTGCCTTTGTCCATTTCTTTTTGTTCCAGAAATGAAGGGAAGAATTGTAATAGGACATGAACAGTTTCAGGAGCTGAGTTGCAGGCTTCATGCCAAGCAGCCCTTGCCCAAATGGGAGTTTCATTGGGCTCCAGAGGATAAATCAGGATTGGTGTCCCTGAGTGCTCTGCGACAGGAGGCATCCATCGCCTGCTGAGGCCCTGGCACTGCTGCCACTGTATCTGACCCGTGCTCTGATTAAATTTCATCAAGCCGCACCAGGGCTTTGCCTGACCCACACCTGATTAATCACTCCTCCTCAGCCACTCCTGGATGGTGGTGTTTGAGCCACTCTCTTGCAAATGGCTCATCATCTTCATATATTCTAGTGCAGAAACCCGACACTTGGACCATGCCCTCTACGCCCCCATCCTCTACCTGCCCCAAGGATGATCTGTCAGCACACAGTCTCATCAGCACCACAGAGAATTCCTGCCACTTGTCTTTAACCACTTATAACTTATTTGCCCTCTTTAGAGCAGTCCTGAGGAGAGATTAATAAGGGGCTAAGATATAGTCATTAGAACCAGCTAAAATGTTCCAGGCTGTCCTGGGTGACTGGATGCCATTTATGTGAGAGAGGAGCCTCATGAGACCTCTGTCATGGTCAAGGTTCTCTCACAGTGTCTGAATTCGTTTTCTGGTTGTCAGAGCAAAAGAAGATGCTGGAAGATGAGATGTTGTGTTCTCTGGTGCCTTGTGTATTGCCACATCTGTCTCCTCGCAGAGGCCACATCTATCCATCCATACAGTGAACACATGCTCTCCAGTGCTCACTCTGGAGAGTGATGACTCTAAGTCTCTGATTAGATTTTGCTCTTGTGACTGTAACAGATGGCACGTATCATCCCATATCCCTCGGACCTCAGAACCTCTTGTGCTTGAGAATTTCCAAATGCCAACGTCGACATCTCTTTGTCTTTGGGCTATTTTACAAGAGGCTAAAGGCTTCTCCATGTACCTGCCCTCTGACTTCAACTGCTAAGGCATTGCCACCCCTGGGAGTGGTTTCTGTCTTAGCTCCCTTGCACCCAAACAGGATAGCTTTACTGTGTGTCTGAATGGATTTCTGGTATCCTGTGATTTTTATTGCTTAGGGGGTAGCTGACTTGAGTACACAGCCTGAGGTGACCCTTTGTGGTTCTCATTGCATCTGGCTCTCCCTTTGCCTCCCAAATAACATCAACTCAAACCTTGTCTCAGGGTTTGCTTTCGGGAGATCTCAAACTAAGGCTGTGTCCCAGTTCGGTTTCTGTTGCTGTGATACAACACCATGACCAAAAACAACCAGGGGAGGAAAGAGTTTGTTTCAGCTTACAGTTTGTGGACCAGCCTCGTGAGAAGTCAGAGCAGGAACTCAAAGGCAGGAATCAGGAGACCATGGAGGAGTGTTGTTTACCAACTTGCTCTCCATGTCTTGCTCAGTCTGCTTTTGTATATAGCTCCTACAATGGGCTGGGTCCTCGCATATTAGTCACCAATTAAGAAAATGCAGCATAGGTCTGCCTACAGGCCAGTTTGGTGGGGACATTTTCTTGACTGAGGTTCTTTCTTCTCTACTGACTCCAGCTCCTGTCAAGGTGACACAAAACTAGCCGGCACAGGTAGAGCTCTCTGTTACCAACTTCCCAGGTATACTATGAAAAATGCTTTAACTCGAAACCCAATATGTACACTACCAGGTTAAAGAGTGAAGACTGCAGTGAGGCGA